ATTTCTAGGTCTAATTATTTTTGTTATTTTGCATGCTAAACTTACGAGAATTTATTGCCTGTAGAACCTTGGACAAGACTATTGCAAATTTAGAGATGGAGTTAGCCACAGCAAGGGCAGCTCAAGAGTCTATACGAAATGGTGCTCCTGTTTCAGAAGATATAAGGTTAACTGAATCATCTGGCAAGAGAAAGTACCTAATGGTCGTAGGTATTAATACTGCATTTAGCAGCCGAAAAAGAAGAGACTCACTTCGTGAAACCTGGATGCCACGAGGTTCGTAATTTGATCTCATTTTCTCATAGATACTTTTATGGTTTTTTATGTCAAATCTACATTTTGGTTATGGTTTGAGAGATGTTGAATCTTTTGATAACATGGAAAATAGGTGAGAAGAGAAAGAAGCTAGAGGAAGAGAAAGGCATTATCATGCGTTTTGTAATTGGACACAGGTAGCTAACTCATCTATCTTTTGACGATTTTAATACATAATTGGCAACATCGTCGTGCTTTTGTTTTAAACTCACTTGAAAATGCTTTGTTAAAGATTACTTTAGTTAGATAATCATGTCTTGACATTGTATTGTTAGTCAACAGAATTATAGTTTGCTAGTTTCTGTAAAATATTATCATGGAGAAGTTTCATTGTTAGTCATAACTAATAATATATTGAATGAATTATAAACCTGGCCTATTTTTCCTTCTCCCTTGTCTAGTGCTACGTCAGGCGGTATTTTAGACAGAGCCATTGAAGCAGAGGACAGAAAGCATGGAGATTTCTTGAGGCTGGTATTTAACATCTATGATCCTTTTTATTCATTGTTTCTCCCCTCTCTCATGTCCCTTCTATTTTTTTTGCTCATTTTATAATTATTTGACTATATCATAAATAATTTGTTTATACAGAATCATGTAGAAGGATACCTTGAATTGTCAGCAAAGACAAAGACATACTTTGCCACTGCTGTGAACTTGTGGGATGCAGACTTCTATGTCAAAGTTGATGATGATATTCATGTAAATATAGGTAGTTAAAGTTTTAAAAACTCTTGACAATCTCTGACTTTGTATATCAAGTCATGAGTATTTGGCATTTTATCATTAACTTAAAAGCCTTTAGGATGTTGAAAATGTTCACCAACGAAATGTCACACACGAGATTATAGGAAAACTTTCGTTCTCACTATAGTATTCAATCCGTTTCAGCGACACTTGGAGAAACTCTAGCTAGACACCGATCAAAACCAAGGATATACATGGGTTGCATGAAATCTGGACCAGTCCTATCTCAGAAGTAAGACACGCTTTTCTTTCATCTTGGTTAAATTGAATGGAAGAGCTAATACTCTTTCACTTTTCGCTTCTTACATGCCTACTTTGTTGCACAGAGGGGTAAGGTACCATGAACCTGAACATTGGAAGTTTGGCGAGTCAGGAAACAGGTACTTCCGTCATGCCACAGGACAGTTGTATGCCATTTCAAACGATCTGGCTTCATACATTGCACTAAACCAGTAAGTGCTGCTTCATTTCACTTATGAGGAAAAAAGAATTCAATTATAAATGAAATCAAATTAATAGACTGAAGAGTGCTTATATTGTACTCTTTCCATGTGTGTATGTATGTATTTGTCTCAGGGATCTTCTTCACAAGTATGCCAATGAGGATGTGTCACTAGGGTCTTGGTTCATTGGACTTGATGTGGAACACATAGATGATAGAAGACTATGTTGTGGCACTCCTCCAGGTGAATATTGTCTTATATATATAATATAGAGATGTATGTGACCACATAATTATTTGCGAACATTTTCAAATTATTGGGTTGATTCTTGCAGATTGTGAATGGAAGGCTCAGGCTGGCAACATTTGTGTTGCTTCATTTGATTGGACCTGCAGTGGGATTTGTAGGTCAGCTGAGAGAATGAAAGAGGTACATAGGAGGTGTGGGGAAGGTGAAAATGCTTTATGGAGTGCCACTTTCTAGGAGGGGTCTTCTGGAGTTCTTTCTAGCCTGTGAAGATTATTACTTCACCATGATAATTTATCATAGCCTGCAATTGCAAAGGTTGTCTATTTCTTTTTCTATATTCTGTGAAGTATAGAGAATTATCATTTTACAAGAGAAAACTGGAGTGGCAAAGTGAGTGATTGCCCCATGGACCTTCTGTGTTTTAAGAAGAGATTGAACATGGTAGCAAAGCCAGAAAAGGAAACAAGAGAGAGTCTATATTCATTCTTTGATGCTTGAAGGGCCACTTTGTTAATATAGTTCCATGGCTTATCAAGCTCCTAATAAATATATGGTTGGGTGGCTGTTGCTGCCCCTACATTTAAGGTTCTGTCTTTCTAATTTCATTGAAATCACTCTCTCTGGTAACTTTTTATTCTACATTCTTTGGCACTTTTTATTTCACCATAAAAAAAATAAGTCACATATATGAACTCCAACTTTATAAGCTCACCATACCATTCTATTAAATATCCAGTAAGTAATAAATTCTATCACAACAGCTTAATGAATTTAAAAAACTCATCTAAAAATCAAAGAACTATTTAAAATTATGAGTGAAAATAAATATATTAAATTAATTCATCTATAGGTCAGCCTTTTGAATTTGCATTCTAATGCCTAACTTTTTTGGGATTTATACATTAAAGAAAGACTACTTTTAATATTGTATGGATCTCTCTGTAATGAAAAAGGTAGTAAATGTCTGTTATGCTAGTTAACCGAACCCGCTTCATGGGTTATCATCAGTAGTAGTTGAAAATTTCATATCTAATTATTTGACCATAATATGATCCGGTGATCCTATTTGGGACGTGGCCCACGTGGGTTCGATAACAAAAGTTCGTTGACATTGGTCAAATGGTCAGAAAATTTCAAAGCGCGTAAGTGACTAGTTCAGTGATTAAGCTTTTTCCTCTCTAGAATATGTTAATGGCCCAACCTAAGATGCTGTCAAGTTCTTTACAGTGTAAGAAGAAATTCAGATTATGGATGTATATGAAAATATAATTTATCTCAGTTAGCCACTAAAATGATGGTATATGTTTTATTTTTTAGTTTTTGGAAAATATTTTTGTATAAAATTGTTAAATAGATCATGATGATCTTAGTAGTTAAATGAGATAATTTATCTTCTCATATAAATTAATATTTTATTCTCTAAATAATATTAGTTGCAGTTGTAATTTGTCATTAAATCATAACATGTGTGATTCTCTTATAACAAAATTAAATTATTTATAACTCACTTTTTTTTTCATTTTTTACTTTTACCTGTATTTTAACAAATCTCGTTCAAAAAAAAATGAGAACTAAAAGTTATCACAAATTTGACAATCAAATTACTTGCTGCTCCTTTTTATGAGAATATTTTAAAGTTTTTGTTTTGATAATACTTATAGGATTTATTTCAAAGTTATATATATATATATATAATAAATGATTTTTTTATCGAAATACTCTCATTTATTCGATATTTTTGAGTAAAAGAAAATAATTTAGTTTCATTATCTAATAACAATGTTATAAGACAGTATATAATCACTGACAAATTTAATAATGTTTAGAACCTCCTCGTATGAAACTATCAACAGATTCTTAAAAAAGAATTAGGTGGTAATGTTTTTGTGTCATTTTTCCTTCTAGCTCGTATATAATTCATATTTCTAGCAAGTTACATGGTCTCACGTTAGCAAAAAAACATAGGAGAATGTTTGTGAATGGAGTATTATCAAATAAAGCTTGGAGATCTAAGAAAATGTTACTATTATTTTCTAAAAACATAATGAAATAAGGCCAACGGAATGGGCACCAAGGTGTCACAAAAAGGGAAATAGGTAGTATTGCTTTTCATTAATTGTGCTGAGTACAAATTCATTGCTGACACCAATATCAAATATAGAGGATTGTACTTAAAGCATTGTTTAAGCAGGGAATCTTTTTTAAATGTAAAAACAATAATCATGACACGTAATAATGGATCTTTTAAGCTACTTCAGTTTTTCACTGTACAACTCTGAATAAGATCCAGTGAGTCAGCAACTACCAAATGGGGTTAAATTCAGAAAAATATATATATGTAAAGTGAAAGTAATTGTGTTCATATTAGAGTGCAATGTTATAACTAGCTTTCGGTAAACAAATGAAAATTGAGATAGACCATCTGGTTTAGAAATTTGTACCTTATTTCAATACTTAAAAACAGATTCTCAAATTTCATAAAACTCGTCGAGACTAGTTGGAAAAAGTTCATTCCAAAAAATGAAAAACAGGATTGTTCAAAAGATTTTTTTAGTATTGAACAGATGTTTTGATTTTGGACTTTAACAAAAAGTTAATGTGGGGTCTTCAGGATTCTATGAACTAGGATATCTCCACATTAAAGAGGGACAAATATATGTTTTAACTTTATTTTTAATATTAAAAAAGTAATTTTATTATAATAAAATGATATATACTACATTTTTCCTTGATTTTTGATGTGGTCGTCTGCTTCTCTATGTTTTGGCTTACTATGGCGTTAATTTAATTATCCGAGTCTAACTACTCCCATACCTTACACTGCATTGGCCTCATTTCTCACTTAAAGTATCATTTTTTTTTATCAAAGTAGTTCAAAATATGGTATTGACTTACGTACATGATAGGTTGGAAATTCTTTGTTTCATGTTTTATCTTAGTATTTTGGTTATTGGGAGTTAGCTCCATTTGTAATAAAAAAGCTAAATACGTTCCAAAAATTTGTCTTTGAAGGAAGTGAGTGTTCATATTATGCATTCGTGCGTGTTTGTATATAGAGACATAAATGTCTGATAAATAAAAGCAAATGTCTTTGTGTGTAAAGAAAACAGAGAGGCTAAATCCTAAGGGAAATCAGAAATAAACCTGAACATCTTGGAATTAAAAACCAGGCCAATAATGCAAACACAAGAACCACCTTTCAGCCTTTGATAAGAAGTCTCCACAAGTGTTAGCACTTAGCAGTAGTGGTATACGTGATATTGGCACGGCTCAATAAAAAAGTGAAGCCAAAAACATTGTTGAGCATGACTTTCTTATTGAACCGCACCAATATCCCGTTAAACCGATCCGTTTTACTCCTCATTGCCACCATGTTAGACATAAGCTCCATTAGCTAACTACTGCAAAGACAACCATAGACATAAATAACCAATAAAGTATAAAAACATCAAGATGTTAATTTATAACAAATTCAGAAGGTGCCCTTCATGATTTTAATTCGGAAGTTAGATTAATTATGTAACATTTATATATATAACCCTTGATCTAATGACATAAGGAGAAGCAGGGAAAGTGATATGTGAATGGAGAAGAAACATGATATGGGGTCGACATATTGAGTGAAGTAATGTACAAAAGAAGAGAAAGAGATAAGATAGAATGAGAATGAGAGTGAAAGAGATGATAGTAAGTTTTAAAGAAGGTAGTGGCCAAGATGAGAGGCCATGAAATATGGGTAGTGGTGGTGTAGCATTGAAGAAGTTGCATTAAATTCTCAACCACCTAGCAAGAAAGGAAGTTGGAATATTAATTTAAAGGGGTACAGGAATCGTGAAAAAGTTCAGAGGAGACAAATCTGTAGCTATTAATGTGGTGTATTTATTGATTATGGGGTAGAGGGAGAGGGATGTTGGTTCTGTTCAATCAGCATTTAAGTATCAAACAGTGAAAAAGAACCTTAGCTTTTATGGGGTACTCACACCCAATCTCTCATGAGGCACTTCGTAGGTTCAGTCATTGCACTACATAAGCAATTTATGCATCTATATGGTTTTCTCACATGCTTACATCCCTCCAATTCTTTCCTACATATAAACATAATATCATGGTATTAAAGGAAATGATGACACATGATAACAAAAAAAAATTAATGATACAAATTTTAAATTAGTTAATTAAAGTTTTTTTAAAATGATTAAACAAATTTGGGTCTCACATCTCAATATAGGACTATCCACTACTTGAGAGGATTACGACTAAAGTATGTGAACTATTTGTACCAAAACTAGATAAACAATATATGCTCTCAATTGTTTAGAGGTTCATCTAGTTATGTCTTGCAATGTTTAAATTGGGAATATAATGACCTTAACCTAACCATATGATGCAACATACTCTTACTATAAGATTATATTGTTGGTAAAGATACCCAATAACTAATATCTTATAGATATAGTGGGATTTCAAATCTATATATTTAGTATGGGAAAATGATATATTCTCCTACTAAATCATCCTACCTACAAGAATCTGACATATGTCACTTGTAAATCAATCACTAATAAATAAAATATCATTTTGTGACATATGTCACTTTTTTGTGAAATGAAGATTTAGTAGGAGAATATAACATTTTGTTAGTAAGGGACAATTAAAAATGTTTCAGATGTACATGAGATATGTAGAATTGTAAAGGAAGGGAATTGGGATAAACTCATAAACAATATTTGCACTTGTGTTGTTAGATGACAAAGAGCAACGCATAATTTTCACTAATCACTATCACGTTAGGCCTTTTGAGAATAGTAAAAAAGGCATTGATGCTTATAGAATGATAGCTTTTTCATAAGGAATCTTGGAAAACCTTGTAGCATGATTGATTAATTTTAGCAATAGCATTAAAGGAAGGTCATGATTGAGTTGAGTAACATTAGGTTTTGTTTAAATAGCTCTTAACCAGTTTTGTAATGTGTTAATTTAAACTTGACATGTTATTTGTCATAGAATTTTTATTTAATTTTACAAAAACATGGAAGCTGAAAAATACATACATCATACATGATTAATAAAAAACATAACGGTCCTTTTGGTTTACAAATATGCTTTTATTTCTATTTCCTTGTTTTCGTCGATAGTTAAGAGTATGGTACTTTGTTTTCATTTTTTTATTCCCAACCAAACAATCCCTAAAAATTATTTCTTGTACTAATATATATGTGTCAATTAGCACGTATTAAAAAGTGTACAATTATGAACTTATTGTAATCAACTATTTACTCAATTAAATATTAAGTGTTCACATGTCCCATTAGGTACTTTTTTAGAGGGATGCTTGTTACACGTAACTTTTTGAGTCCTTTCACATTATTTTATGAAACATAATTAAAATGTAGTTTTATCAAAAGGAAGACCGCTTACTCTAAGACTAAGTTTAAAAAACGTATTTCGCATATTAATTTTTAAAGTTACCGTTGATGTACGTAAATCTCATCTCCTATAAAAAAATGCAATATAAATAATAAAATTGATATAAATAGAAAATAGAATTAGCATAATCTTGTGTAATTGACATTACTTTTGGCCTTGATACATATATGTGTAGGTAGTGCTACTATTATGTTTGGTTTTCTAGGGAAAGCGCGAGAAAATAAAATCGAAGGAAATAAAGTTAAAGGAAAAATAATAGTGGAAAAAAATATAGTTGTTTAGTAAGCCAAGAGAAAGAAAATATACATGAATGAGATGAGAATAAATAATGAAATTTGGGTATTTCTGTGGAGAAGAAGGGTGGATAAAGTTGTAATATTACCCATTTTTCTTGTTTTATTTTCAAATTAAAATAAGAAGAAAACTTAATAATATTTTATAAAAGGTTGTCTGAATGTAGTGTAATCTCACATTTCTTATGATCTTACTTCTCTAGGGAAGATGATATTTTGAAGATGAGGGGTAAGTACACTTTTGGTGTCATACATTCTTAATTTCCTTTCCCTCATATCCTCTTCTATTTTTTTGGTTTGAAAAGTGAATATAGTCGTGTTTTTATTATTATTTAATCTCTTTTCTTCTCTCTTATTTTCATTTATTAGAAACAGAGGCTTACATGTGAGAGTGACTGCACTAGTACAGCATTAAATAGTGGTGCGACATCTTGATGAGCATGCTTAGTTGCATACATCACATGAATGAGAAGTGGAATAAAATTTCCCATATTTATATCAGTGATGGTAAAGCACCATAGTCCCATATAAGTCCTAGGAAATCCGTGAACAAGGTCCTCTCTGTTAATGATTAAATATGTAATTTTCCTTCTATTTTCAATATCAAAATTGTTATTTCATTATATAAAAAAATAAAAATATTTTATCATATTATTTTCTGTTATTTTTTATAATATTTATCTCTCAATTAGTACAAAATATCTTTACTCGACATCGATACCTCGTGACCATGCAATAGGCATCTTTTCAGTATTTAGGAAGACCTATCCCTATAACAAGACTCCTATACTATTCCATTATTATGGCCATTGGCTAACTGCATATCTTCACATAAATTCAAATATTGCTCACCTTCCCTAAATCTTGTTGACTAGCTGTTTCCTTTGTCAATAGAGGCCTCTCAAATCTCACCCAACTTGTGCTTTTGTTATTCATAATTTTATTGCTAGCAAATATTATTAAACTTGTATCAATTATTAGCTCGGTAAAGGTACTAAATCAATAAAATAACTGAGTCATTTATATTAAAAATATAATATAATTTATTTATTTTGTTCTAAATATAAAACTTATCATTATATAAGTATGATTAAACAATCAAACACATAAAATTTCATGGCAACAAAATGTCCCAAACTAGTTGAAAGTATTATCATACAACATAAAGTTTTAATCACAACAAAAATACATAAATATATTTTAAACTCAATTAAGCAAGAGCAATTTTACTCCAACAAAAGTTAATGCATAACAATAATAATTATAATGCATAAGTTTTATATATTGTTTAAATGATTACATTACTCATTATTCATATTTAATCATCATTAACTATTTAAAAAATATAAATTAATATACTCACTATACATAAATCTTTATACTAATGATGAATATATATATTATACTCTTCAAACTTTCTTATAAATTTTTATTCTAAACATGCTTTTCATAAAAGAGGTTGGATGGCCAAATGTGGAATGTCTCCCAGCTTTATTCTTATTTTGGTCTCACACATTTTTCTATAATTTATTATATATCTCTATAAATTAAAAATAACATTTAATTTTTCTTTCACATTGATAAATAATATTCTTATCTCAATCTTACAATTTACTCACTTTCATATTTTATTATAATAAATGGTCACTCTCCTCCATCTTATTTTTGGAAGTCAAATTTTCTTATAAAAGTATAGTAATTCAGTGTCAAGATTTATACACAATCATTTATTTTATCTTTTTAACGATACTATAAATGTTGATTAATAATAAATCTTTTGGATCTCAATATCACATTATATACCTCATCCTTCATTATCTAAAAGCACAAATTCTTATTAGTTTTTATTTGTCAAAATTTCAGGAGACTAAGTCAAAAAGTTACAAATTTGTCTTCATCTATACTAATATATAAAGGGAAAACACAAAATAACTATCATGATAGTGTAATTTGTGTTTTCCTATTTTGCCCTTAATAATCTATATTTTCTACCAAAAAAACCATATAACATATTTTCTCATTTTATGTTGGATTTATTAAGCTAAAAACAAATTTTTCAAAAAAATGCATTTATTTGAAGTCAGATGTACTTATACCTATTTCATTTTAAAAATTGAAAAAGAAATAGCATCAATATGATTTGAAATAATTAAAATTGAAAATGTGAATTTTAGATAAAAAGAAAAATATAAGTTCCTTAGCAAAAAACTAACGAAACGGTGTCGTGAAGCATGGGCAAGTTCCTCCTGTAATTTCGCTTGACAGGGCAAGTTCTTCGTTTCTTCCATCTTTTATTCACTATTTTAACAAACCCTCGCTATTTTTCATATTTCTTTGCAAATTTCATCGATCGCTGCCGTGGTATTAAACCCTAATTTCGTAATTAGTTTTGTCTCCTATTTTTTTTTTCTGCTGCAGAATTATTGCTATGGCTAAGAACTCATTCAAGATGGAACAACCACTCGGTGAGCTTCTCTCTATTCTTTATTTTTCTTCTTTTCCTTGTATTTATTTTCTCCAATTTTTTATTTTTTGGGTTGAGTTTGATAGTGTTTTTTCATTCGGGAATTAATTTCTATACTTAGGATTTTCATCTACGAACCTAAAGCATTTGAATCTTCATATAC